GTGTGGAATTGTCAAGGAGTGGGGAGCCCCTTGACAATTCCCCAGTTGAGAGAGGTGAACAACCTCTCTTCTCCAAGTATGGTGTTTTTGTCTGAAACTAAGAATAGGAGTAATTATATGGGAAAAGTTAAAAACATTTTGAAGTTTGATGAGATGCAAGTTGTCGAGTCTATGAATAAGGCTGGAGGTATGGCACTAATGTGGAAGGCGGAGGTAAGGATCAAGCAAGTTTTGTGTTCAGCTTTTACCATTGAAGCTCACATTGCGGATGATGAGAATAGGAGTGAATGGTGGTTTATAGGGATATACGCAAGCTGTGATGATCAAATTCGGAAACAACAATGGAAAGTAATCCAATCCAGGAAGCATCTTTGGGGTGATAAATGGCTAATAGCAGGGGACTTTAATGATATTGTTTCAAATGCTGAAAAGTGGGGAGGCAACAGGAGGGAAGAAGGTAGTTTCAAGCCCTTTAAGGACTTCATCAACGATAATCAGCTCCTGGAGATTGGATTCGAGGGACACCCATGGACTTGGTGCAACAATTGGGAAGGGGAAGGTGAGATCAAACAGCGGCTGGATAGAGGTTTGTGTAGCTTTCCGTGGTATCAACTTTTTCAGCAAGCTAGCTGCCAACATTGTGATTCCTATGCTTCAGATCACAGCATACTGCTATTTGATACTAAACCTATCCAAGCTAGGAGGAAGAAAAGATTCTACTTTGATAAAAGATGGTTGCAACACCAAGAGATTTATGAGGTTGTGGAACAGGCTTGGAGGCAAGGAAATGATGGTTCCAGGATGTATAAAGTAACACAGAAAATTAAATCGTGTAGATCAGCTTTATTAAAGTGGAGAAGTAAGGTTCAAGGAAATTCAAAGCTTAAGATTGATAGGATCAAGGGTCAGTTGCAGGAGCTCAAAGAATGTGATATAAGTGACAAGAAGGATCGGGGGAAAATTCTCAAAAGCAGATTAAGTGAGGCTTACAGACATGAAGAATTATATTGGAGCCAAAAAGCTAGGCTGCAATGGCTGAAGGAAGGGGATAAAAATACCAAGTTTTTCCATGCGTGTGTCAAAGATAGAAGGAGGTTGAACAAGATGAAACATATCCAGAGGGAGAATGGGAGCTGGATTACAAATGAAGAGGACCTAAGCACGGAAATTGCAGCTTATTACACTAAGCTTTTTGAAGCTTCAGAAGAAGGTGATATGCAGGAAATGTTAAATGGTATACCACACACTATCACAGGGACTATGAATGACAAACTTACGGAACCTGTAGGTGAGGTAGAAATCAAAGCTGCACTTTTCTCCATGTGTCCTGATAAAGCTCCTGGAATAGACGGGATGCCTCCTATTTTTTTTCAAAAGTTTTGGAAAATTATTAAAGAGGATCTGGTCAAGGCTATTCAAACTTTTTTTCATACAGGGCATCTCATTAAGTCAATCAATCACACAATCATATCCCTCATTCCCAAAGTCAAAAATCCTACATCTCTTAAGCAGTACAGACCAATCAGCCTCTGCTCTACGGTGTATAAAATCATAGCCAAAATTCTTGCTAATAGACTCAAGCAGGTTCTCCACCACTGCATTAGTAAAAATCAGTCAGCTTTCATTCCTCGAAGACAAATTCTTGATAATATCATGCTCTCTCATGAATTCATTCATTATCTTAATAACAAAAGGCTAGGCAAAGATGGGTTTATGGCTGTGAAATTAGATATGTCTAAGGCTTATGACAGAGTTGAATGGAGGTTTTTGGATGCTGTGATGAACAAAATGGGTTTCAATGACCGTTGGAGGTGGTGGATCATGGAGTGCATGTCAACAGTCAATTACTCTTTCACGATCAATGGTCAAATCAGAGAATATGTGACTCCCCAGAGAGGAATTAGGCAAGGAGATCCGTTGTCACCATACCTGTTTCTCTTATGTTCAGAAGGACTTTCTAGCTTACTCCACACAGCTACGGAGGAAAAAAGGATAATGGGTTTAAAAATCAGTAGACTTGGTCCTACTGTGTCCCATTTATTTTTTGCTGATGACTCGTTGATATTTTGCAAAGCCGACCCAAAGAATGCAGCTGAATTGAGAAGGATTCTCCAGGTGTATGAGAAGGGCACTGGACAGATGGTTAACTTGGAGAAGTCTTCAGTTTTATTTAGCAAAAATGTGGATCAGCAACTACAACTGGCTACTTCTCAAGCTCTAGGGGACATTCAGATTGTTAATAAAGGGAGATATCTGGGGCTTCCAATGGTAGTTACTCGATCTAAACATCAGTTATTTGGGTACATTAAGGATAATATCCAACACAGGCTACAAAGGTGGAAAAATAAGTTGTTGAGTGCGGCTGGGAAAGAGGTAATGCTTAAGGCAGTTGTTTATGCACTACCAACTTACACTATGTCATGCTTCAAGATTCCAAAAAGGATGTGTAAGGATATCAACTCCATCGTGGCAAATTATTGGTGGGGAGAGGCTAATGGAAGAAACAAAATGCATTGGAGCTCTTGGGGTAACATCTCGCGAGATAGGAAATCTGGAGGACTAGGATTCAAAGATTTAGAGGCCTTTAACATAGCTTTACTAGGGAAGCAAGTATGGAGATTACTCACTCAACCAAACTTGCTTGTTAGTAAAGTTCTTAAGGCTCGATATTTTCCTAAGGAGTCCATTTTCAACTGCAAGGTTCCTGCAAATGCTTCGTGGATCTGGAAAGGATTGATGGGGGCAAGGAAGTTTATGGAGGGAGGAATTCGGAGGAGGATTGGGAATGGGAAAAGTACCAATATATGGGATGATTCCTGGATTCCAGATGTTCATTTGGGCAAGGTGTCTTCACCTAAACCAGAGGAAACCGTGCTTCACAAGGTTCATGACTTGATACATCAGCGAAAATGGATCCGGCCCCTAATATTTGCGACTTTCAGCAAGCAGGATGCAGAAAACATTTTGAATATCCCCATCAGTTTAGGGGACAGAGAGGATTGTTACTACTGGATCCACGGAACTAATGGCATCTATACTGTGGGGTCTGCATATAGGAAGCTAACTCAGGAAAAAATGCACCACAATAACCAAGGGGGAAGGGAGGAAGCTAGTACAAGCTGGAGCAACCAGAGCCAAGGAATCTGGAAGTATCTGTGGAAACTCAAAGTTAAACATAAAGTCAAGATCTTCCTATGGAAATGCCTTAGCCAAGCCCTGCCAGTGAGACAATTAATAGCGAGCAGGACAAAGCAGGGGGATCCAATCTGCAGAGGGTGTGGTGAACATAGTGAAACAATTGAACATGTTTTATTCCATTGCAGCTATGCCACACAGGTCTGGAAGTTAGCTCCCATCCAATGGGATGTAACTCTGGACCATCAAAGTTGCTTCAAGAAGTGGTGGACCACTGTGACAGAAGCCAAAGCTAGAGCAGAAGGAAATGATCACCTATCTTTAACAGCCAACATCCTCTGGCACATATGGAAAAGCAGAAATGCAAGAGAGTTTGATGGTAAGCAAAGGCAGCCATGGAAAACGGTTCAGAAAGCTCAGGAAGAGTGGTTTGAATTTAAGGAAGCTAATGAAATACCATCAACACGGAGTACAGAAGAAACAACAACTCGGCAGTCACAAGTGCAGCTACAAGAGCAAGGCCATAATTCAGTGACACTGAGATTAGCAATACAGGAGCGAAAGGTCACTTCTCAACTCGGAATTGGGATCATATGCACTGGGAATCTTCAACACCAGGCTCAAGGGTGGGCGCTACATGAGAGAAGTTCCGGGAATCATCTCATTGATGAATTACAAGCAGTCAAATTACTGCTTAGTAAAGCTGCTGTATACCAGTTCGAGAATATTCAGGTGCAGTTGGACAACAAGCGAGTCTTTCATCTAATTCAGAATGCCAAAACGCTGGACATGCGCGTCACAACACTGCTAGAGGATATTCTCACTTTGAAGGCCTTGTTTCGAATGTGCTCTTTTTGTCTAGTTGATGGAGATAATAATCATTTAACTAATAGGATTAGCGCTTATGCGTTGAATATCATTCAAGATGAGGAATTTGTGATTCCTTAGTGCCATTGTGCACTAGTTGTATTTAGTTATCAAGCCTTTGCTTGAATTGTATAGTTTATTTCATGATATAAAATCACTTATCGTTTCGACAAAAAAAAAAAAAAAAAAAGAACACAAAATCAAACAAAAAAAATAAGGTTTAAAACGTATATGGCGTGCCATTAATATTTCCCTATATTTGACATGGTTTTAAATACTAATGAAGCTTTTATGTGCAAATGAAATAAGTGAAAATAAGAAATTATGTTAACTTTATTGTACGAAACTAGACACTCGATATGAATAGAAATCGTTCTTTATTAAACATAATTTTAATAATAAGACAAATAATACTAGTGCTCTTACAAAAATCTCAGACACTCCATTACTTTAGAATTTTTTTAGGAGTGTCAATATAATTTGCCTTTTAATTATTGTTATACCTTGAGTAGATAATTATTTTTCAGCCAAACATTTTTTTAGAATAAATCTTATATACACTGACAGTGCATACACTATCACGACAAAATTTTAATTTTAATTTTAAATTCAGATGGATTGTCATATAATTAATGGTGATGATGTATATACTGTTAGAGTATAAAAAATTAAATTTTTTTTAGCTATATATGCTATATTGGTTTGTTTCTCAACTTATGAGAAACATCCCGTATACCATGTACATCATGCTTTCCCATAACTCCTCAATTCTCATATACTACGATCACAAACTATCATCGTTTCACACAAAATTATGACTATAGCAATAAAAAAGTTATTGTTGGAAAAAAAATGCACAAACATTTTCTTTCTTTTTGGAGAGCAAGGTTCTCAAACATAACCAAAAATATCAAGCATAAAGTTGAAAGGACCTGCCACTTATTCTAGACTCACTTGTAATGTAAAATACATTTGCCACTGGCAAATGATCTAAACAGTTAGGATGACAAATGAGTATGAACCCGAGTACAAACCCTTGCATCCTCGTAAACTTTTCCTGGTCGACAAAAGTATCCCTTCTTTGGGGCACAATGGCTGTCCTCTGAGCATATACATAATCCTTCTAGTGCACAACCCTCCTTTACTATGGTAACTCCATCTTTCAGTCCAAGAATTTGGTCTGACCACTCATTGGAGAACAACGCCAGAGGATCATATAGTTTTTTGACCTTCAAAAACTCTCCAGCATTCTTGTACTTGTTAATCACATTAAGGAAAGCCAAGTCCCTATTTTTACCCCAATGAGGCAATCCTCCATATTTAAACAGTGCCATCTGCTCTATCTCTTCAAGAATATCTTCATAAATTCTTGGGGCCATTGGGTCCTTGCTTCTATAGTAAGAGATGTCAAACTCTATTGAATCTTCTTCCTTCCCCAAGTAAGCACTTGAACGAGTAACATATCTAGCCAGGAAACCAATATAAAGGTCAACACCACATAAGCCATTAGGCTGCAAAGCAACAAGTTTTTTCACATCTTGAATGAAATCCTTAGCATTGGACAAGCTAATGCTGATTGCAGTTGAGAAAAAGTATGGACCGTTAACTCTAGGGTCCCAGGAGCAAGCTGTTAATAATCCAACCCCTTCTCAGAATGCATCTTGAGTAGGGGTGCTCACGAATCGAGCCGCTCACGAGCGACTCGAATACGAGCTTGACTCAAGCTCATCAATATCGAGTTCGAGTCGAGCTCGAGTTAATTAAGTCGATCTCGAGCTCGAGCTCGAGTTCAAAAACATTAAGCTTGTTGGCTCGCGAGTTCAATTATATATTTTTTTTTTATTTTTTTATTTTAATAGTAAAATTACATATATATCCCTAATATTTTTATTGTTTGTTAAAAAATTATTATTTTATTCATTTTTAAAAATAAATAATTATTTTTTATTTTTTAAAAATAAAATAATAATAATTATTTTTTTTATTTTTTAAGCTCGAGCTCGAGCTTGATATTTTGATCTCGTCGAGCTCGAGCTTGATATTTTGATCTCGTCGAGCTCGAGCTCGAGTTCAAGTTTCACAAAATTAACTCGAGCTCGGCACGTTTGCACCCCTAATCTTGGGCATGGCTTTGAAAGTTGACATGGAATTTGTAATTTTTCTTTTGCTAAGAAATGAGATAGTGATAGACCTGGAAAGATTTGAAAAACATAACTTCCCTTATATGACTGGAGAAGATGAAGAGCTCTAATCAGTGGCGGAGCCAGAAAAAATTTTCAGTGGGGGCAAAAGTAACTCTAAAATTTTTTACCTACTCTTTTTTTAGTTTTTTAAGGAAAAAAATATTCACCAACAAGTACAAATGATGCATATATTTCATGAAAAATATCAAAAGACAAACTTAAAATTATTAATGTAATAATAATTTTATTTCAAAAGAAAATTAAATCATTTACAATTGCTCATGACGAGTTTTCATATTTTGATAACGGTTTACAACCTTTTCATTTTGAATTTCACGAAGTATATTTTTCTCAATATAAGTAACTAAACAATTATTCATCCAAGTGTCTTCCATTCTATTTTGTAACTGATTCTTCACTATATTCATCATTGAAAAAATCCTTTCTACGGTAACTGTAACAACAGGTAAAATCAAAGACAACTTTAAAAGTATATAAACCAATAGATACATAAAACTCGAGAGGCACACTTGAAATTACATCAAATTTTTATAGGTATCATATAAATTTAAGGGAAAATCCGCCACTGGCTCTAATGAAAGTTTGACTTCAAGAAGTTGAGCTATCAAATTGATTTGCACTATTGTAAGAAATGCATTCTTGTAAGAAAACTTCCCTTACATCACAAGAAAACTTCCCTTAAAGATTGATTTGCACTATTGTAAGAAATGCATTCTTTTGTTAAAAAATGAGATAGAAAGACCAATAACAAAAGTGTGATTGCATCCGCAAATCTTGTGTAGCTTGGAAAGAGGAAAGAAAAGCGAAAAAAAAAAAGCATGGAAAGAAAAAATTGAATAAAACCAAAGAATTGAAATGCAAGAAAAGAAAAGAAAACGAAAATGTAAGGAGTTGAAGTTCTAATGTTACGGGAGTTAGGAAAGAAATGTGATATGATAGGCCCTCCACAATTGTTTAGTGTAATTGGATAGAATCTTGTCTATTTGAAGTGAGAGGCATAAACCAAAAAAAAATTTAAGAGTGGTATGACTTTTTTTGAATTGACTCACATTTTGAGACAACCAAAAAGTGGAAAAATGAAATTAACAATGGGATGGAGAGTACTATCTTGGTGTAAATTCATATAAATTTGGTGTGATAGACTATGAATCGAAAAATTAAAATTTACACTTAAATTATATGAATTTATACCAAAAATTGTAAGAATTGTAAGAATTAATTTAATTGGATAGAACTCAACCTGTGATGCCACGATCGAGTATGATAAAGGTAACCTTTAAAACTAGTACTAACAAACAGTTAAAATGAGATATTACCATTACATGGATATATGTTAATACGACCAGATCAATTATGCTTTTATTCTTCTTGTATTTTTTAAATTTCTTTTCTGTTAGGGGGTGGGTAAAGAAAGTGATTTTCTTCAACATGCAAAAACTACAAAACCATTTAGATTTGGAGAAGAACTACCATTGTAAGTCAACCCGTATCAAGCCTTGGTGAGTATGTATCTGCCTAATGATCTGGTGGTGCATTCCCTATAGGGTATGACCTTTGTATTTATGGATCTCCTTTATTCAGAACCAATCAACTTAAAGCTGATCATAACCAGTGTTGAGGTAGTTTTCGAGGGTATTTATAGACAAACCTATGGCTTTTGAAACCGCTATAACCAGTGAAGATACAGGACTAAGTCCGATAAATGCAAAAACACCATTTGCCGGGCTATTGTAGGGGACTCCATCAATGGGATAGGCAACCTTCTTTTTGCTTAATATCACTAGAAATCTTTCTTTTATTTTGATGATTCGAATGTTGAAAATACACATTTACTAAAATATAACATGCTTTGGAATCACTTCTCATATAAAATAGAGAGCTAAACATGATAGACATGCCATGATCACATATTATCTTATTTTTTGAGAATAGTGATGTGAAAGTTCCCCAGTTGTTTGCAAAAAGGCTTCTTATTCTCAATAAAAGTAAAAAAGAAAAAAGAATAACATTTTGTTGAGAAAAAAATTTATAGTTTGTTGGTTGAGAATTCGTTTGTCATTTTCAAGATTGCTCTTGTTAAAGTTTGGCAATAACATTGTGGGCTAGATGTTATTTGTCCAGGTTGCTTTGTCCTGACTGATACCACCTGTGTGGATCTGCTTTATTTTAATGTACGTTTCCGTTGCTTTGGAATAAATTTGAAGTCACCCAAAAAAAAAGAAAAAAATTATGAGCAAAAATTCTATCTTTTAATAAGGATGATGTTGGAATTTAGAGTATAAACTAAGAAATAACAATTGTACTTAGTGTTGCAAAAAAAAATTAGCTTTTGCAAAGGCTTCTTATAAAGTCTTATATTAAAAGATCGAAAAATATCTTAACTTTTTCATTCATGAGCTCTTTATTTATAGAACTTACAAACAACAAACTAACATAAGTTTTGAAAGCAAATTTCAACAAAAGATACTTATAATTCAAAACATTGAACTAGTCAAAAGGCACTAAATATGAAACTACCACTATTAACTAAATTTATTTAACAATCCAACACTCTTTTTTGCTACTTTTACCGCAGGTTTTGAATTGTCTTCTAAAATCTTCAAACCTTGTTTTGGATTCGGCAAGCTGATGATTAGCTTTGCAAGACCTACTTCTTTCGGCTTCTTGGACCAAATTCCAAAATAATTGATGATATTTTTAATGTATTCAAATAACCTCTTTGAAGGTAACACCTTTCTATGATATTTGAACTTGAATAGAAGACTTGTAATAAATAAAATGATTGTTAGAAGACACATTAAAAAACCTTGTAAACTCTGTACATGCAGTTCTACAAACACTTTGTCATAACTATCAAAGCCTGTACATCCAAAAATAACAACATTATACTCTTGATAAATATCAATAATCAATTTGATATATCCTGACTTATCAATGATATCTTCCTGAATTTTTTCAGACTCTGATATATCATTTTGTTAGCTCTGATACCACTTTATTGGAATTTGAAGTATAAACTTGAAACAACATTTGTAATTAGTGTTACAAAAAAATAGTTTCTTATAAAGTCTTATATTGAAGAACTAGAAAAATCTTATATTCTTCATTCATAAGCCTCTATTCAAGAAATAAATTAACATAATTTTTGCTAATAAATCTCAATAAAAGACGCTTATAATTTAAGACATTTAAACTAGACAAAAGATACCGAATGTGAAACTATTCCTAACAGTAGATTTATGCTACAACTAATTCATTTGTTCTAATACTAAAAATCTGTAGAGAAGTTGCATAATTCCAACAGATGAAGTTCAAAAGTACCATCAATACTTCTAGACATATTTTTAACAAGCATTACATTTAATTGGAGATAAACATGATATACATTTTTAGGATGTCAAGTGAACACAAACTCTCGCATCTTTGTAAACTTTTCCTGGTCGACAAAAGTATCCCTTCTTTGGGGCACAATGGATGTCCTCTGAACATATGCACAATCCTTCTAGTGCACAACCCTCCTTTACTATGGTAATTCCATCTTTTAGTCCGAGAATTTGGTCTGTCCACTCGCTGGAGAACAGCGCTAAAGGATCATATAGTTGTTTGACCTTCAAGAACTCCTTAGCATTCTTGTACTTCTTAATCACATTAAGGAAAGCCAAATTCCTATTTTTACCCCAATGTGGCAGTCCTCCATACTTAAACACTGCCATTTGCTCTATCTCTTCAAGTATGTCTTCATAAATTCTTGGGGCCATTGGGTCCTTGCTTCTGTAGTAAGTGATATCAATGTCTAAAGAGTCTTCTTCTTTCCCCAAGTAAGCACTTGAAGCAGTAACATATCTGATCAGGATACCATTATAAAGGTCAAGACCACATAAACCAATAGGCTGCAAAGCAACAAGTTGTTTTACATCTCGAATGAAATCCTTAGCTTTGGACAAGGTAATGCTGATCCCACTTGAGAAAAAGAATAGACCGTCAACTCTAGGGTCCCAAGGACAAACTGTTAATAAATTATCTTCTAGGCTATAAAGGCAGGAACCAGCTGACTGCATGCGATTGTTATACCCTACGACTGGGTAGCCCTCAAACAGGATACCTGTGAGAGTTAGACATTAATGTCCAACCAACCAAGAAAAAGTTCCGAATACATATGAGCATGTAAAACACGGACGCCAACTGATTTATGTGCCCCCTTCTGATTTATATGTACATTAATATTGTCAATTCAGATCTTTTTCGGCTCAAAGGATAGGAAAATATTCCTACCTTTTCTCAATTTATTGTGAAATTTTGTGAAATTCACGTTACGATGTTGGAGGGCTTGGCATAAACTCTTACAAATTTAATTAAGTAAAAGATAAGTACAAAGAGAGCAACATAACCTTACCTCTTACTTAAGTAATGCTTTTGCCAACATATGCAAATTGGTGATAGGTTATAATTTTAGATTTTTTTTTCTTAACCAAGCAACACAGTGGTTCACGTCTTATTAACTCTTCGTTTAAATATAGTTTACAGTTTCAATTTAGACTAATCGCATTCTCTTCTCTTTTTTTTTTTTAAGCTATATTCAAGTAGTTTTGCACCTTTTAAATCTTTCATTCTTCAAAAAACATAAATTCCTCCAATCTTAACGATTATAATTTTAGTACAATAAATGCTTAAGAAATTATTTAAGGTCAGGAAAATTATTCAACACGCAAAGTAAAGTTGAAAATAGGGAAAAAAAAGAAGTCGAAATGGTCAAGAAGAAATACCATCATTTGTCAATCCAAATGCAGTTGTTTCAAACAAGGACGTGCTTGCTATTGCACTTGCGCATTTCCCTTCTGCGTAACCTGTGAATTCTTGACTATCCTCTATGCAACCAAAAAAAAAAAAAAAACAAGGAAGTGTTCATTGAAGCCATTAAACTATACTTGCATTTTTATTTTTATTTATTTATTTATTTTTGTGTGTGGACAATCTTAGACCAAACCAACCTGTGCCTCTTAAAGTTGCCAGAGCAAGAGAAGCAGCAGGGCGAAGTCCTGTGGAATCAAAAACACCGTTTCCAGCAGTGCTGGAGGGCACTCTATCATCAATTCGATAAACCACCTTATGTTGACTTGGGTACCAATTGAAGTCTGCAAACTCGTGTTGTTTGCCAAATGTAGACACTTGATCTTCCAGCTCTGAGTCACTTTTTTCTTCGTAGGTGATAGACCTCTTGAACAATGGTTGCAGTTGAAGCGTCACCTGCCAATCATATTCTTGTTTTAGGCATGTAGTTGCCTAATGAAATTTTGTCGGAAAATACTGACCAGTCATGATTTTACGTGATTGTACGTTCCGACAAAGCTGGCCTACCAAGAGACAAATAATGTGTATATATTTGTCCATATTGACAAATTAAATGTGAATTCATCAAAATGTTACTAATCAGCCTAATCATTTTTGCTACTTAAAGAATTGGAGCCAAAGCAGTGCTGCGTACATACATGTTCAAGTATCTTAAATATTAACAATATCACCTTGTAGCTCCAAAAACTAATTAGTTTTCGGGCATACATGAACGTAATTTTCTCCTACTTTCGTTAAAAATCTGAGTTCTTGGATATAATTCGGCATGAACTAAAGATTTATGCTGTGATTAAAGCACCAAAGAAAGCTTAAATGTCTGCCAAGTAAAACTCACGTTAAAATCTGAGTTCATAGATATAATCTAGTATATAAGTTAGACGGTTTGATCCAGAAAACATCTCACTTACACTTTCTCTCCTAAATCACTCAACTCATCTCTCTTCCGAGTGTTTGTCTGATAGTCTCTAGATTCGGATAATAACATAAGCATGCAGTTCAGGATCCTAGTCCAACATCTGATTGATGTGTGATGGGAGTAAATCTACTCCTATAAATCCAGAGGTAGTCACATCAAGTTATATTAGTTGATCCGAAACCTTTGTCAGGTCTTAGGTAAAGCAGGATTTGGGGCAGGGACGGTCATCAGTATGACCGTCCCTGCACGGTTGAGGGTCAAGATTGGCCCTCAAAATTTTATGCGGCTGAGATTACACCATGTAACTCGATTTCCGTGCCAAGTGTGGGACCCACCACTATCTGTTGTAAAAATACATCCTGTGAAGAAAAAGTTATACGATGTACAAAAAAAGTTACATGGTGTTGATAATGACCAAAATTGACAGGAACGGTTGCACCTGTAACCGTCCGTGCCCCGAGTCCGGTAAAGCAAGGGTTGAGAGCGTAGTTTAATAAAGCCAAACCAGTCAGGCGATTGACTCACTAGACTTGTTGAACCAGCCACTAGGCCCAGCATTTAATCCGATGATTGCCCCATTAGGCTTGATGAATCAGCCACTAGGCCAAACATGTAATCGGATACGGAGGAATTTAATCAAGTTCATTTGACCTGTTGGTTTGATCGAAAACTTAGCCGGATCACCCAGCCGAGTTTTGCGTGACCCAGTGAACCGTGTTTTTTGGCCACAATATGTATTTTTAGCAAGGTTTGAATCTCGAACTTCTTCATAAATGTGCAAATATTTCACTGTCAAACTTAAAACTTTTACGTGCCCTTTAATTATACATGTTCACTTTCTTATTGTATAATTAATGCTTTCAAGATTCAAACTAGAAATGTTGTAATAGTGTGATATCAGTCCTACAGAAAAGAACTATTTATTTTTTAGTCAGAATCATATTAATAAAAAATTAATGCTATTTCCTTAAAAGCTTGTTGTATTGCTTAAAAAAATAATTTTTAATTTTTGACATGATCTATATTTGTAAAATGAAATTGAGTCTTCTATTAATGGTTATGTAT